ATTTAAGTTGAAATGGAGCCTTAATGTCTTGTCTTGGAATGAGCTACCTTCTTAAAAAGGGCTCTGTCCAATTCAAACTTCGTATTGTAGAGATTGGCAACAGAATCTCTCCTGGGGCTTCGAGGCTTTGCAGACTTAGGCCTTGCTACCTGTTCCATGGGGGGATTTTCAGCCAGGAGAGACATGGACTTCATGTTATTCTTGGCTGGATATAGTACTAACCCCCTTTTCCAGTAGAAGGTAGGAAAACAAATCAGTCAACTGCAACACAGAAAAAAGATGAGGCATATGCATAGTGACAGTGTCTAGCTCTGGCTTGAAGGAAACCAGCAATAAAAAAGGAACTACAGTAGGAGTCTGATAAAAATAACAATTTACAAGCACATTTTTAAAAACCTCCTTCAAACCAAGTGCTACTCTGGAATCTCTTTTTATTTAGACTTTTGCCACAGGAGGCATGTGCGTACCTGGGAAAAAGAGACAAGAAGAGAGAAATCAGTCTCCAAGGAGAATAGCCATGCTACCATCCCTTCTCCTCCATTCTCCTTTCAGGATTTTGGGCATACACACACACACACACACACACACACACACACACGCACACCTGGTGTGTTGTTTAAGCCACTGGGTTTGGGACTTGAATGTTGGAGTTGGCCATGTGAGTTCCAGTACTGCACACCACCTGCTGGTCCCTCTGTCATCCCTTTTATAGGTGATGGAAATATTTCCTTTTTTACCACCCACCCAAGCCTCTGGACCAGCACATGGTCAATTTTGTCTACAGCAAAAAACATTCTTCATCTCACCCATTATAATTCTGAGTGGTCATCTTAATTTAGAATAAGTTATCAAGAGAAGGAAAAATGGAAGTGTGGGCAAAGAATGGATCTAAAGACTACCTTTATTTTGGCCCCTCTGCTAGGTCCTGACGGAGATACTCTATGCCTGTAGTTGAGGACAGGCTCTCACAACCGTGTCACTCTGCCCTTTCAGGAGGCATTACACACAGATGCTGCCTCCTTGGACCTGGGCATAGCAAGGGGATCCAGCCTTACTGTGCAGTATCTCTCACATGACAAGCCTCTGCTAGGGCTGGACGTGTCAGGGCTCTAGAAGAGGAGTGAGTCTGGCAGGAGGATGTGCTAAATCCATAGTAACAGTGAGTTCAGTTGTCATGTAACGTGGTATAAACCTTCCTAAAATACTTTCAGGGCTTGATGGCAGCACAGAGGTAAAAGGTGATGCTCTGTGAGGCTGATCCACAGAGGAGGACTCCAAGTTTTGTCCAGAGACCTCTCTGAGCCCACGGGGCACACATGTGCCCATTATCTGAGGCCAGCTGAAACTGGGAGCAGACTGCAGCATCAAGATCCTGTTGGGGGGTTCTGTCTCTGTCTCTTTTGCGCATGGAAAAAAATCGACTTAAAAAATAAATAAAAGTAATCCCCGTGTAATGGAATTTTGCATTCTAAAAATAACAGGGCTATGGGAAACACGGAGTTGGGACAGAATTAGCAGTCATGTGATAATGGCATAAGAAAAGCTACCACGATACTTACCATCATAAATTGCTAAAAAACTGTGGTTGATACAGAATGATGCTTTGACAGAACATGAAGTTTGCTTTGGTGCTATTTATAGTGAAGGGCATGGCTTCTGAGTTATGAAGAGTAGCCTCATAAGAGCTAAGGTCAATTTCTAGCTATATGGAGTCATTGTTTTCTGTTTGTTTTTAAAATGGTCTCACTGTGTTGCTGTCTTCCCGCCTTAGCCTCCAGCATGGCTGGGACTGCGGGCGTGTGCTCCTGCACCTGGTTTCCTCAGGTGGGTCAGGAACTGAACCCAGGCCTCCCATGTGGTCTCAGATGAGATGTAGCATCAACTGGTGTGTTAGCATGGCTAGGCCAAGATCATTTGTTTGTTTGTTTTTTCTTTTAATGAAATGGGCTAACAGAAAAATGGCCATGGCCTATTGTCCTCTTTTTCTGTTCCTCTGGCTTAAAACAGACAACCAACTTTTATTGTTTTATTAACTACCCTCTCTCATAATGAAGTCGTTTGTATAGCCCCATGAAGTCAGAAGATGTCAAATGCTCTCATGCTGCGTGAGTTCAGGACTCTTCAGCCCACTGTACTTGTCAGCTGTCAGTCACTGGGAAGCAGGTGATTGTTGTAATCAATGGTAATTATTATTAAGCTCTTGTCTTTTTTTGTTTTTGGTCTTCAGTGTTGTCTCCTACATTCATCAGTATCACTTTAGGCCTATAGGCATTGTGATATCATCTTCTTGTTTCTTAACTTTATACTTTTCTTTTGCTACTTATAAGACACTTATTTTTGTTTTACTGAGAAAATGAAGTTGGAATACAGCAGGATAAATTAACTGGGCAAAATGGGATGAGAGGCGCATTGTGTGCGGGATGCTGTTCCACATTGGCCTGGTATTACCCAACGGTGCCATGCAGTCACCTGGTCAAAAGCTGCTTATTAACAAATCTGATTTTGATTTTGGAAATTTGATTCCTTATTTATCTGCACTCATTTGCAAAAACTGACACAAACAGTAATAAAAAAATATATATATCTATCTCAGCTTTCTTGTCATTCCCAGGCAATTCTTAGATTAGGATTTCCTCCTTTTTTGTAAGAATTTATTTATTTGTTTTTAAGAGAGATTTTTGCTATAGGATGCATGTGCTCACCAGAAAGAGACAGAAAGTGAGAAGTCACCCCCTGGGGGGATGGCCATGTCACAATCCCTGCTCCTTATCTCCTCTCAGGATCTAGGGTATACACGTGGACATGCCCGGTATGAGTTTTGACACTGCTTTGGGACCCGAACCATGGTGGACGATGTGATGTGGGAATTTAGTGACATCATTACGCCATCTGCTGGTCCCAGAATTCATTTATTTTTGTTTCTGCACTCTCCTTTGACAGGTGCTGCTATTGTAGTAGACTAGTTTGCCTTCCTCCCTCAGGTCAGAGTCCCAGACTGGGAGTGTTGATTTCTTACGTGACTCCTGTGGTTGCGTCCTCTCAGGGTATGTGCAGACCAGGCTGTTCAACACTGACAATGGAAAATAGGTAGGTGGTATGGGGTAAAAATCTATGCTTTTGAGCTGTTGCGGTATTTTGGTGCCAAAGCCTCTCTCCTCTGATTCTCAGAAAGAACGTTCTTTCCCAACAGAAAGGAGCAAGGGCAGTTCGGCCTCTCAGTAGAGCCTGTTTAGGAATACGTGGGTCAGCAGTATTGGGCTCTCCCTCTCACACACAGCGAGTGAGTGAGGTTTATGGTGATTGTTCTCAACATTCTTATCAAATATTTATATTAGGATGACCCAACATTTATGTCTCTATGATATTGCCTCAAACCCTCAAGTTTTGGTAGAAACAAGGGCCTTTCTTAAAGTGATCTTTCTATCATCCAACTAAGATGTGCCAGGCACTGTTCTAGGCACTTTGGATGTACTAGGAAAAAATTTCTCTAATAAGAGTATTGCATCAGATGCCGGTATTTAGGAATTACCTAAGACTACCACATCAAACGTAGGGGATGGAGCTTCTTTTTGGTTAACACTTAAAATGTAACTGAAACTTCCCTGTGAATGGTGCTGTTAACTTGTACCTACCATAAATATCCCTTTTCTCATCCATCAGTGGCCAAGTTCATGAACTTTTGGGCCAGACTGCCTGGATTTCAAATCAAATGCTGATTTTACCATGCCGCGTCTCTGAGACCTTGGCCAACTGACTTGACTGATTGTTGCTGCAGCGTGCCCAACTAGAAATGGAAAGGATAACACTGCACCACTCTAGGGCTTAAATAAACCGATTCGTATAAAGAGGTGTGCCTGTCACAGAGCAGGTATTCACCAGCAATACTTCGTATTTAATGCAGTTATTATTCTCCCCTAAACATGCTTCCATCACAGCTCATATATAATCATATCAGCACCTCTGACACCCAGTTGTGCTTACTTGCAAGTCCATTTACAGCTCTCATCCTGCAACAGTGTGCTCTCTGGCAGGAAATGGAGGTGTCAGGGGAGCTGTGTGATTTGTCTTCCCAGTGCCTAGGACTATGACTGGCATATATCAGCACACGGTACATGTTTGCTAAACGAAGGGGGAAAGGTGATCTGAAACTTACTCCTTGATTGGCTAGGGCAACAGAAGAAAAAACAAAAAGACAAGAAAATTACCACTATAAAAATGCCCAAATGTAGTGGCAGTATTTAAATTTTTTTTGTTGTTTATTTTTGTGGAGAGGTTTTGCTATAGGGTGTATGTGTTCACCAGAAAGACAGAAACAGACAGAGAGACAGAAAATGAGAACTCACCCCCCAGAGGGGATGACCACACTGCAATCCCTTCTCCATTCTCCTCTTGGGATCTTGGGCATGCACACACACATGCCAGACTAAGTTTAAGGCACCAGGTCCGGGACTTGAACCGCAGTCAACTACATGAGAGTCCAGTGACATAGCCACTATGCTAACTGCTGGTCCACGGTATTTTAATTTCTTTTAGGTGTCGGGAAAGTCATGATGTATTTTTCTATGCAAAAATGCATCATGACTCTCTTGACAATCAATAGAAAGCATATCTTGCTAGTGTATTAATACCAGCACCTCAATTTAAGTGCTCAGCAAAGAGGGAATAGAGCTAACAAGAATGAATGTGGAGAAACAGTATGGGGAAACTATAAATGGCATCTCAGGAAGGGCAGGGAGATTTCGAGGAGGTAGACAGGCATTATTTCATTATTCTGCTGTCATGGAGACCAAGAGACTATCTACAACAGAAAAAGATGATGTCAGTTTATAGATACTTTAAGGTAAATCTGAGCCAATAGGGCTTTAAAGATGAATTAATAGCTATACGGACATTAGCTAAAAGAGCCACTGGAAAGCGAAGGTGGGGCTTGTTCATGGGGGGCAAGAAAAGTGATCTGGAACTTGAGAAAATCTGCATGGGTGGGCATTTTTTGGAACTTATAAACCCAGAATTTGCTCTTTTATTAAATGCAAAATTGAATAGTTAGCCAAGGAAAACAATTTTTTTCTTATCACCATTATACAATTCAGATCAGATTACATAGTAAAACATTCTATAAAACACAGCTGCATGTAGCTTAGTGGGGATAAGTCCTGAGAGACACGTCCTTAGGTGGTTTCGTTGCTACAGAACTTCAGAGAATGTATTTACATGAAGCCTACTATAATCTTCCAGGACCATCATCTGGTACGACTGAAAAGTCACCTGGCGCATGGCTGCAGTATACTTCTAACGATTTCTTGTCGAAGGAATATCCCTTCCTGGCCTTTCTCCATAAACATTCAGCACTTTATAACCAGTACTAAACTTGTACAGATGTATCACTGTCCTATAGGTTAGAAAAGTGCATCGGAAAGAAATTTCAATCACCGTAGTGTTATTTTCTGCAATTTTCACTCTCCTATAGCCGATAATCTTCAGGTCTGAAAGACAAAAAAATCAACATTTATTTCTTTATGAATCATCATTTCATTTTCTCCTGCTTGATGGCAGATTATTTTTCGAATTTAGAATGATAGTTCAATGAGAAATATAGATTAAGCACTATCTCTAAATTTTTTGGTGAGAAACAATAAAGCTAAATCATCACAAAGTGGGATATTTAAGTGATAATTCTGAAGTTCTTTTGAAAGTATGAATATAACCATCTTATGTTTAATTATGAACATATTTATAAGTTAATAGCTTGAATTCAATTTCTCTGTTCTATGCTTAAAACACTCATAAACCCTCTTTTTAAAATAATTACTTTATTTAACTTTATTTATTCTAATTTGACAGAGAGATACAGAGTGAATGAGTGAGAAAGAGAGAGAGAAAAAGAGAGAGAAGGAAAAAAAAGAGAATAAGAAAGCAAACAAGCTGCCGGGTTAGGAACTTGAACTAGTTGGCCATGTGGGAGACCAGTGTCCTTAACCACCAAGCCACCTGCTGGCCCCTCATAAAGTTATTTTTATTCAAACGATCGTGACCTTTAAAAGAATTTAAAATTCATAAAATGATATAAACTTACCCCACAAGGAAAATTTTAAATGAGTAATTTCTCTATTTATATTATTTTATCACATACTAAATTTAATTCTCATTATGATACACATACACAATATCTAGGTTAGTATAAGTCCTTGATGATATTTTATTTACACACACATAAATAAAGTTTCGTACTCATCTATGTATTTATAGTAATAACAACTGAAAGTTGCTTCTAGTAAATTGAAACAAAGAAACATTTCACATAGTGCTATATCACATATATAGAGGTAATGATGCACAGGAAATTATAAAAAAAAAAAAATTCCAGTGTCCTATATCTTTTTAATAGTGTATTCGTAGGTGTTGAGTTCTCAAACAGAATTTTCTGAAGGCAGTTAGTAATAAATCAACTAAGTATTGGGCTGGCCCTATTTAGATCCCTTAACCAAAAGCTGACCACAGTTTGAATCTTGGCTCCAGCAGTTTGAAAAATATGCCAGGCACATGCCCACACATGCCCCAAATCCTGACAGGGTGGAAAATAGAGAAGAAGGGATTGTGGCATAACCACAGCCCATTTGGGGATTTTTCTCTCTCTCTTTTCTGTCTCTCTCTGGTGAGCACAAGGGTCTTCTGGCAATTGAAAAAATAAATAAAACAAATGAAATAGGTATTTACAAACAGCTATCAAAATATTTAATAGTTTATTTAAAAAGTAGATAAACTCTATTTGCCCTGAAACCACTTTATTTAGTCCTTTTCTATATTTATAGTGTTTTCAGAAACTGAATACTCACAAGGTACCCGATAACCCAACTAAAAAAACCAACAGTTTATTAGCTGAGTGTAAAAACTGTATTACAAATAAAATTTTTTATTACAAAACTTTGAGGAACACAGGCACTGGTCTGGGAAACTAGCCAGATATGCTTTACCATATCAGCCATCTATAACAACAAAAAGGAAAACCATACAAGGTTGTCACGGTGTCGGAGAAATCTCTTTTGAGAAGTCTGGGAAATGACAAGGTGACAGGACAGCTGCAAGTGGCTCCAGAGCACACCTTTTAGCCTTTGGTATGCAACTGGACACAATCAAAGCCGCTCTCGAGCCTCTCGGGCATATTTTCAAAACAACTTCTCCTCTCCAGCTGGTTTACATAACTACAAAGGGTGTTGGTGATGCATCTGGAAATAAATCATCTAAGCTAATGTCTTACAAGGAATCTTCAGCTCCACTCTATAAAATCTAATGTGTTTAGCCAGTCATTAGTTGTTTCCACACCAAAGGTGAATTTATTAAATCAAAATAAAATGACAATACTACTTTTCAGTGGAATTTAGAAGTACAATAAAACTGGAAATGTGTGTCAAGAGTACAATCTTCTATGTAAGAGAAGAATAATACTGACTTCAGAGCAACATACAGGGGTTTACTGAAGCCCAAATGTGTTTCACGGAGATCTGTTCTTTTAGGTTTTTTTAATAGGGTACGCACACTCGCTGCAGAGAAAGACAGTGAGAAGGAAAGTAAGAAATCACATGGGATGGCCACACCGTAACCTCTTCTCTTCCATTCTCCTGGGATTTGGGGCAAGCACACACAAGTGCCTCGTGTGAATTTCAAACCACCAGGTCTGGGACTTGAACCACATTTGGCCATGTGGGAGTCCAGCACTTCAACCACCGTGCCACCTGCTGGCCACTCAAAAAGATTTCTTTCTTTCTTTTTTTTTTTTTTTTTGAAGAGGTTTTTGCTATAGGGTGCGTGCACCAGCCAGTCAGCCAGACAGAGAGACAGAAAGCGAGAAATCACCCACCAGGGGGGACGTCCACCCCGTAATCCGTTCT